ATGACAACCTCCAAGATCACAGCAGCAGTTCACTTTTCTACTCAACATATAAATCAATCTCTGTTTTTTTGAGAGATGTTCAAGGTTGTCTTATGCACTGGTCTCTATGGTCACTGCTGGATTTTACTGGTGCTGTTTTTAGGTCATAATGTGACACAGTCCTACGCCATCCCACAAACTTCAATGCAACCTTGAGAATTGGCCGCTTATCTTCATACCAGCCTACTTGCAATCCTCTGGCCCTCAACAATTTGAGTTTACAGCTTCCAGTTTCTCTCTAGCTGAAGTGCTGGTAATGTACATTTCCAGGAATGCAAAGCAGAAAGAGTTGGTTGATATTTAGAGTGAGGAACCCCCACCTCCCCCCACTTAGATCGCTGTGTAAGCGAGGTAGCCTGCCCCCGCCAAGCTATGGTTATGCTAAGTTTTCAAGTTCCCTCTTTATAACTTTCCCAACCTCAGTCCTTTCATTGCTCAGACACGTCTACTCCTCATTTATATACTTCTTTTCTTTCTCTCACTCTACTATTCTTTAATTTCAAATTAGAGCCAACATGAAGGTAACTGCATATAAATGTAAAAGTTCTTTCCTGATTCTGATTTATGCTATTGTGAAACCTAATGAGATCTGATTTTACAAAAAAAAAGCAACCTGCAGTCTTATTAACACAACTGATCAGTTCGTTTTTGCTCAACTTTGATTTTGTGCTCTAAAATGTATGATTGGTGCAAGTCTGCTAACAGTGACTGACTGACTATCTCAAATCACTGTGCGACTCACTCTCACTGCACATGTACTGCCTATTAGTGACAAAGCCAGCCACTTGGACTAATGTCTGTAATCTATCAATTCACATGCATGACAATACAGTGACCACTTTCCAAAGAGGAGCACGATAAGTGGAAGGCAATTAACATTATTTTCCACTTTTAAGTGTCAAAATTATGCTTCATCATTACTACACCAAGCTGCTTCTGATTTGCTGTTAAACGAAATAGAAATTATATTAAGAGCAATTTTAGTCATTTTGTTCCAGACAAAGCACTATTACCCAAGTTACGGAAGTATGAGGACCATTCATAATTACAGCCAGAGAACCTTCACAGATAACTAGTGGAAATAATAATTGGAAGTGCTTTGGGTCTGTTCCAGAACAGGAGACTGGAATCGGTTTATAATTTATTTTAAAATGGTTCTGATTCACCACTAAATGAAACTTCTAATGAAAGGATTCTCTAATAGACTGTCCTTAGAGATGACAATAGCACAAACTACCATAGAATTTGCAATCTATCCAAACAAGTAACACAACAGATTTTATTATCAGACTGCTTTTGCAGAGTTTTCATTAGTTAGTATCAGATATTTCCCAGCAGACTTGCACCAATCATACATTTTAGAGCACAAAATCAAAGTTGAGCAAAAACGAACTGATCAGTTGTGTTAATAAGACTGCAGGTTGCTTTTTTTTTGTAAAATCAGATCTCATTAGGTTTCACAATAGCATAAATCAGAATTAGGAAAGAACTTTTACATTTATATGCAGTTACCTTCATGTTGGCTCTAATTTGAAATTAAAGAATAGTAGAGTGAGAGAAAGAAAAGAAGTATATAAATGAGGAGTAGACGTGTCTGAGCAATGAAAGGACTGAGGATGGGAAATACATACTTAGGGCTTGTTAATGGGGGAAATTTCTGATATTGATGGTGTATTGTGGAACTGTAAGTACTTTAGACATAATGGTTTTGTTATGAATAGTGGACAACACTGTTAGCTCCTGTAATGTAGTATTAGCTTAGCTATGGTTCAGCGATATACTTAATTGCGAATTTCAACTATTTACATATTAGGCTAGATTTAGATCACCCTAAAGGAGAAGCCCTTGCCCAGTAATGCATCGTTGCAGTCAGCTCAATCCAATTGAGAGTATTGTGGAATGTAAATCAGGTGGTTACAGGATTCACAAATCCCAAACCCATGACTTCCACTAAAGGGAAGGGCAAAAGACAGCAGGTTCACGAGAACAGGATCACTTCCCTCCAAGTCACACATTGTCCTGCTTTACACATATATTCATTCTTTCATAACTACTGGATCAAAATTTTGAAACAACCAATCAGCACTGCGGGTGTACCTTTTGAGGATGGGCTGTAGCAATTCTTTCACCACCATCTTCTCAAAGGTTTCTCAGGTTGCTGAAGGTCAGAACTGGAGCTTACCATTATATACCAATAAGCATTAATCCAAAAAGTCACAGATTACAAACATTCCCCAAGCTATCTGACCCCCCACCCAAGTACATGACTAGTTATAGGACACGTGAATTCTCAACTATTCCCCACCATCTGCTTATAATTAAACACATTTAACATTATGTCATGGAAGTGATTTTTTAAGTGCTAATATGTATCCGAGTGCATGATCTAAGATGGTACTTGAGTTGAATTATCTCATCTTGTGAATTAGACAGGAAACTAAGGGACCATAGCCTGGTGAGCGTTAAATGATTGAATAGCTGAATTAAGAGAAGAACAGCAAGTTCTCCTAATGCGCTTATGTACAAATCATCCCTTAACCAACAGCATCAGTAATTTATTCGTTTGCTACATTTGTGGGATCTTGTCATGCACCAACGGTTATCTCAATTGCTAACTAATGACATGACTGCACATCAAAAGTAATCCAATGGTCATAAACTACTTTGACATGTGGTGAGGCACTATACAATTCGCCAGTGCCAATGTCTACGTCTGGACAGATTAGGAAGGCTCAAAAGCATCGCCAATCTTTAACAACAGACCAAGCTGTCAGCAATCCTGTGACCAATATCCAAAGATAGCTATTCCTGCCATAGCTA